AACATGCCTTTGACTTAATTCTTGGTTCAATTATTCCTCACGGACTTAATTATTGGATGAGTTCGAAAGAATACAAGGAGCTATATAGGCAAGTAGCTGAATTGGTAGAAAAGGGCTTGGTAAAAAAATATGAGTCCATTTGCGGCTCCAACTTTGCTAGCACCAAAAAATGATGGAACTTGGTAAATGTGTATTGATAGTTAGGCCGTTAATAAAATTACAATTAATTATTAGTTTTCCATTTCGAGACTTGATGATTTGTTAGATTAGTTGAATGGTACCATTGATCTTTTCTAAGATTGATTTGCGAGTGGTTATCATTAGATTAGAATGTGGTATAGTAGATGAGTGAAAGACTATCTTCAAGAATTAAGATGGCCTATATGAATTGGTGATCATGCTATTTTGGGTTATCAAACATACCTATCACCTTCATGAGACCGATGAATCCAAGCATTTTGATAATTCATTGGAAAGTTTGTTATTGTGTATTTTGATGATATCCTTATGTATAGTCGTGAGAAAAAGGAACATCTTTAGCATTTGAGACATGTGATGATGGTATTGAGAGAACATAAGCTTTATGCCAACCTTAAAACATTCCACTTCTACACTAATAGGGTTTTCTTTTTGGGGTGTGTGTTTTCAAGTAAAGGAATCCAAATTGATAAAGGAAAAACTAAAGCTATTCTTAATAGGTCGGTTCCCAAAACTATAATTGAGGTTCGAAACTTTCAAGGCCATATATCTTTTTACTAATAGTTTATCAAGTTTAGTACCATTGATGCACTTATCATTGAATTGTTGAAGAAAGGAGAAGTTTGAGTAGACACTTAAAACTCATAGCAGCTTTGAGACTCTAAAACGTAAAGTGATCGATGCACCAATCCTAGCTTTGTTTGACTTTATAAAAGTATTTAAGGTAGATTATGATGCCTTTAATATGGAAATTAGAGTGGTAATTAATCAAAAAGGATGGTTGATCTCCTATTTCGGTGAGAAGTTAAATAAGGCTCGATAGAAGCACCCTACATATGATAAAAAGTTCTATACCATTGTCGAGCATTGGAAAATTGGTGTCATTATCCGTTATGAAAGAATTTTGTATTATTCTTTAATCACGAGTCTTTAAAACACTTGTATAGCCAAGCTAAGCTCAAAGAGCAAGAAGTCTTTATCTCCTTTCAATTATGGGTTAAGACATAAAGTCGGCATTCCGAACAAGGTAGTTATACTCTCGATCATTGGTATACTTTACCCTCTACCCTAAAGGTCAAGATTATTGGGTTTAAAGTAGTGAAAAACCTATGTGCTAAAGATGCTTTCTTTTATTCCATCTAGAAAAATATGTTATGTCCCCTTCTAAATATTACCATATTGATGATAGTTAACTATTTAGTAGAAATTATTTATGTATTCCGTATGCTCGTTGTGTGATACTATTTGGAGTGAATTTTATGATGGTAATCTTATAGGGCATTATGGACGAGAATAAGACCGTTGAACTTGTGATCGAACACTTCTTCTAAACCTATATGTCACAAGATGTTGAGAAGTATATAAAAAGGTATAGGGCTTGTCATATAGCAAAGCTAAGGGACAAAACATTGGGTTACATACTCGTTTCCCATTCCTAAATATCCATTAGTGGATATAAGTATGGACTTTGTGGTAGGGATCCCTCGAATATAGAGGTTGAAGGATGTTGTGATGGTAGTGGAGGATGTAAGACTACTCATGATAAACCGATATAACTTAGTTATATTTTTATAAGGTAATTTGGCTACATGGCATTCCTAAGACTATCACATCGGATAAGGAAGTTAAGTTTATAAGTCAATTTTGGAAGGCGATATGAAGGAAGTTGGGCACCACTCGATAGTTTAGTTCGGCCACCTATATGTAAATAGAAGGACGTAACGAAGTTGTTAACTATAGTTTGGGAAGTCTCTTAAAAAGCTTTATGGGCAAGAACTTTAAGCAATGAAACTATTTTATGTTTGGCCGCCCATATGTAAAAGAGTACATAACATTACTTATAAATGATATTTAAGTACAAATAATAATTGAAGATATCTTTAGATTGTTTTGACTATTTCATATAAATTTATATACTTACCAACCGCACATAAGTCCGTATGTAACTGAAATTTCTATGGTTTATCAATTATGTCTCACCATGTTTTTGTATATTGATAATTTGCTTGAATTTTTAGCTTTGATCTTTACAATGCTTTATAGGCTTGTCATAGCCATCCATAAATTTCATAACCTTAAAAATTGGCTTCTCGATGACTATCACTTCACTCACCTAGTTCTAGAATCTTATTGCTTATGGATCTTCTAGTAACACTAATATGCAAATGTCAACATTATGTTGATCTGCTATCCTCCACTTTCTATGCAAATATTAAATTTTGTTTTATGTTATTTGATAAGAAAATGAAGTGAAAGTATTCAATACTTATGTTAATTAGTACTAAGTCATCTATAATATTCAATATTTAAATTGAAAAAAGAAAAAACTAAATTTGAAAATCAATATATAATTACCTTAAAAATAACAAATTCAATGTCTAAAATAAGAGTTAACAACAATAATTCAAACTCAATTTAATATAAATACTAATGCATCACCTATAAAATTAATAATAGTAATTAATTTCAAAAAATTAACAAAAAAAAAGGTAAAATTAGTTTGAGTTGAAAATTACTTCTATGATTTCTCTACTTTCCAAAGAAATATTTAAAATCTTTTATGTGGGTTGGTAAGAAAATGAAGTTAAAAACGAATTGAATGGCTTAAAATTATATGTTGAAGCCTAAACTTGAAAAGGCTAATGAAGACATGAAGCTAATATTGAAAATGACATGATATTTAAACTCTAAAGTGAATGGTGAATTTAATGATTATTTACTGATAGAATGCAACATCACTTTTTGAAAAGAAGCAATTATTTTTTTCAATAGAAATTTGGTTTCTCTCATCCAAATTCAAAGGTATGTAAGCCTACAGAGGCTAAATAACAGGGGCAAAATTAAGGTTGAAAAATAGGTACAAAAACAATTCAAAAGCTGCATTCTACAAGCTTGCAAAGGCTATATAATAAAGACAAAAACAAAGCTGAAAAATAAAGACAAAAAACACTTGGGTAGGCAGTAGGCTGCAACGTGTAAAAGCTGAAATATATGGTTTTTTTTTTAATTAATATAATGTTGTTATGTAACGCAGTATTCATCATTGTTTATGTAAAATGATAATGGGATTTTTATAATGTCGAATACCAATAGCAAGATGCTATAAAAAAAATTATCTCAAACCAAAAACTTAAACTATTGAGTTAGGCTTCAAAATTAGTTATATAATATACTTATATGGATTCACATTGAACTTCAGAAATGATTAGATATTATATTTACATAGACTCACACTATCACTATCTTATGTTTAATTTTTTATTAATTAATTTAAAAGAAAAAAATGAGAATGATAGAATTTGAATTTTTAATAGTTAAGTTAACAAAACTTTAATATTATATCACAAAATCACTTCAACTTAAAAATTTAAATCATAAGAGAAAACTCTAAAAATATTTGTATATTACTCTCAAACACTCAAAACAGTTATACAAGAACCGTTACGTCGTTTGAAACACAAAGCATATCCATAGCCATAAACTCTTCTAAATCCTACTTCTTACTTCTGCTTCTGGCCACTATCTATTCCTCTCATTCACCCGTCAAACACTAATTTTTCTGTCATTTTGAGACACGATAACATATGAGGTCGCAAAATCAGCTGTGAGTTTCCCTTGTCATGCATCCTGCAGGTTGCACTGTTCCATAAATCATAACCGTTCCTTTGCCACTATGTATAGGCATAGCTACCGAGTAGGAGATTTATTCATCCTCTGCCCCCAGAAACAATGAGTTACTGTAATATCGATCTAATTAAGCTCTACTTTTTCTTCCTCCCAGCATATGATAAAAGATTGATTTAGATTGTAAGCCAACAAACTGACAAATAATAATTAAAAAAAGTAATGAACTGGTAGATGTTACAAATTTTATAATTTTTTTTTCTAAGAAAATAAAAGACAATAGAAGAAAAAGAGTAGACATGCCTAAATATCTATGGAATTGTTTTTCTGAAAAGACAAGTTACATTTTTTTTTTTTTAATTGAAAACTAAGGAATCAATTAGTACTACTCAGAAAAAGAATAGGCAGTGCCTGAATTTATAGATCATAAATTATTACTAATAATATTGTTAGTCTTGTTTTTAATGATGCAATGACTTCATCATCAAAGGTATGTGTTTGGAACTAGAAAATATGGTCATCCAACATATGTAAATTCCAAAACAGATTAAAATCTAGGATTTTCTGTCCTAGCTTATTTAGCACAAAAAGGGAAAAGAGCATTTATTGCAAGGCATAACTTGCTCTTCATTGGAATCTTTGTCTGAAGATAGAGTACAAGTGGAACTATGCTAGCCTGCATTTATCTCTCCCTTGCATTTCATATGTTAGCCTGCACAACTTAAAATGAGCATGGCTAGTCTAAAATAGTGGAAAAGTAGATGTCGTGGTCCAAAGGGATCTCCAATTACTTCATTCCCTGTAAAACAAAAGTTAAGAGCAACAACACTAGTACTTAAATGCAAGTATTCTCTGTTCTGAATGTTAACTTTATACTGGCCCTGATCATTTGTTTTGTAATCTTTTCAAAAGATGGCCATTAGCTTTAGCCGACAAAATAAGCTCTAGTTCCAAGCAAGATAAAATATTCCAAACAAAAAGCTTCTTCAATTTCAAGCTAGCCTTTGTTTGGGAGTCCTATATAATGGACTTGTATCCTCTTGTTAATGTGTTTGAAACAAACTAGATAAAATCCCTCCTTTGATAGTCTGCATGCACAAATAATGAATGCAAATCTGCAGGAAATTGTGATCTCGCACAATGAAAGTATGCAGGGTTCCTCTGGGCAAAGCCGCCAAATGTGGATAAACAACATGATGACTGAAACGAGTGAGGAGATCAATGCTTCCAACCGGCTGACTCGACCGCTTCCAAAGGTTCCATCAACGTTTCGTCAAATTAAACAGAACGAGACATGCTATGATCCATCGATTGTCTCCATTGGTCCCTATCACCATGGGAAGCCAAAACTCATGGCGATGGAGAAGCTCAAGATTACATTGGCTCGCCAGTTTGTCAAGGATAGTGGAACCAACCAACAAGAAAATATGTACAATCGGGTTTCACAAGTGGCCAGAGAAGTGAGGCAATGCTATGTGGAGGACACAGAAATGAAGCAGTTCAATGACGAGGAATTTGCCAAGATGATGTTCCTCGATGGTTGCTTCATTCTCCAATTCTTGTTCTGCCTTTTAGAGAAACCTGAAAACCTAAAGATGTCTGGTCACGATGTGGCTTTGGTTGCAAGGGATTTGTTCTTATTAGAGAATCAAATCCCTTTTAAAGTTCTGGATGAATTAATGGAGTTGAGGTTCCATATTCGAGAAGGAGGGAGAGAGAGGAATTGTTTGAACGTTTCTTCAATCGTATTCGTTCAATGCCCCCTCAAAGAAAGTCATGTAGGGAAAAGATGTCAAAATTTTTATTAATCATTTCAAATTCTTTTCGCAGTTTGCTAACACAGTTTTCAAGTACTGTTCCAAAATCCCAGGAAGATAAGACGACTGCCACTCCCAAGCCTGCCCATCTTCTAGAACATTTTCATCACAAATTTGTTGCAAGGCGTAATGATGCCCCAGCTGTTATCGGGTATAAGGATGATTCTCCTAAGACCTGGTCTAGCCGGTATTATCCTGCAGAGGAGCTTAGGAATGTTGGAATCCATTTCAAGCCAAGCACTCATTTTTTCACTGATGTCCGCTTCACACCAACATTCCTCGCCGGAAGACTCTACATTCCTCCACTAAGAATAGATGACTCAACCAAGCCCTTTCTCTTAAACCTAGTAGCCTATGAAGCATGCCTTGGTACATCCAATGATTGGATCACTTCCTATGTATGCTTCATGGATTCATTGATCGATCACCATAAAGATGTGAAGGAGCTGCGGTCAAAAGGCATACTTCTCAGTACTCTTGGAAGCGACAAACAGGTAGCAGAACTGTTCAATGAGATATCAGATTATTTAGTGCCCAATCCCTATGCTTACAAGGAAGTTAAAAGAGCCATTGAAGATCATTATAGAAACGGCATCAAGCGATGGGTCCTTCACTATAAAGGTCCTATTTATACCTTTATTTTCAAGTATTCATTTATATATGGCCTCATAGTAACTGCCATAAAGGGCTACGTATCATTAGTTCCGAAGAACCCAGTTTTCGGTATCTGCAAAATGGCCGCCACAAATGTTACCCATTGCCCTTAAATATCCTATGCGTCATGCGTGACTGTGTGTTTTCTTTCTTTGTCATTATTCATTGTCAGTGTGGATTATTTGGCTATTTGCTCTGTGTTGCACCTCTATGTATTATCCGTTTGTGAGTAAATTTTAAAACCAAAGTTCTTGTGCTTCCTGAATTCTTTAGAGTTTATATATTCTCTCTTTATGCTTAATAAGTTTAAATTATATTTTGGTTAAGCACTGTTAATAGACAATCATTGCAAGTTATTAAAAATCAATCTCCAAATTATAAAATATAAAGGCTCTTTTAATTTTACTAAAACAGCAAAAATCAAAATCATGACCAAACTACAACTTTACAGTTATACCAAGCATCCACTACAAGCAAGAAATATTCACTGCCTGTATTTGTCCCTCAATTTATAATTGCGTTGGCTATATGTACTGTTCCTTTACATTACGTGTAAGAATAGTTGAAACAAAAGTTTCTTTCAGGATCATCTTTAAGAAACTTCGTTTTCTTACACCATTTGTTGTTATGAAAAAAAAAAAAAAACAAAATCATTGTGTTGGTACTGAATTCTTCCAATAGTATTCTCTTCAAAGTTCCATTATGCTAACCACTTCTCTTCAAAGTTCCATTGTGTTGTTTGGTATTATTTACAATTTCCGTTTTATGTTTATATTTTTACCTGACATAATTTTCCTAAACTACTTGGTTCGATTTTGAAAATTTTTGACAATTGTTGTTTTTCTGTCTTTTAAAACAAACAAAACGAAAAACAAATAAATTTCATATTTCTACTTTCAAATTTGGTTTTTGAAAACAGAAAACAAAAATGATACTAAATGAGTACTTAACCATTACTATTCTTTTTACACTATGTTATCGATTAAATAGAAATATTAATTGAGAATTTCCTTCGCTTTATAATTTGGCAACAGATTCTTGTTATTGGTTATGTAGAAACATGAATTGAGAACTTATTTCGCTTTATAGTTTGGCAACAGATTCCATGCAGGCCAAAACTGGGCTTTTATTTCTTTTCTTTTTTTTTTTAAAAAAAAACCTTGAGACTCCATGCCCAATGGTGTCGCCAAAACCAGCTGCGAATTTCTTTGATCACACCATGGTTGCACTGTTATTCCAAAACTCGTCGGTTTTATCCATCGTTTTGTCACTGTAGGCATAGCTGCCGTGTGAATACTAGAAATTAATCCCTCGTTTCCATGAAAAAGATTCATCCTAAGCTCTATTTTATACTTTATGCATCCCAAGCTTCTTCTTCTTCTTTTTTTTTTTTTTAATGAACGTGATAAACAATATCAAAAGAAAAGAAAAGAAAAGAAATACGATTTATTGAAAGAATACTAATTATTTTATTAATGCTATTTTCATTAAATAGGAATCAAAGAAACTTGCTTGCATTTTCTTTCCTTTTTCTTATCTTTTCAATCAAGGCGCTTTTACTTTTTTCCAACATAGTTCCCCGGTATGTTGATTCCAAAAGGGGTAAAATTCAAGTAACTTATTTTGCACAAAAAAGAAAAGAGCACATTTGTATGGGAAGGAAGACATATAGCTGTTAATCGTTATCTCTCCCATGCATTTCACATGTTAGCCTGCAAAACTCAAATGAGGTTAAGCCCATGTTACTTTTGCCTCACAAGCTTATATATAGCTCAATCAAACATATTGCTGATTCTTTTTTCCCATACTAACGCACACTTTATCTGCAAATATACATACTATTGGCAATAACTCCTACACATTTAAATTCGAATAACTTTTCATTTCCTAGTTCTGTCACCATACCGATCAGTAACGAAACTATATGCTAATATCAAATGTCTTTGCTAGATCTTGTTGGCAAAAGATATATGTTCTAGCCAAAATTATAAATCATAAGTTCTAATTTTTTTTTCACTACAAGAAAACCAAAAAATAGCCATTGATTTTACCGATGGACATCAATCCGTCGCTAAATAACAAATAAATAGCTATTGAATAGCATCCATGAAATTTAGAAACGAAATAAAGACGATATGGTAACGGTTTATTAGTGACGGATGAAATTTCATTATTATTTGAGATGTCAAAATCTTTTCGGATATTTTAGTGAAGGGTTAGCAATGGAATGACTACGAAAATCATTATTTATGTCACTCAATACTAATTATTATTTCCGTCGCTAAATACTAATTATTATTTTCATCACTATGTTTAATGTTTTGCTTTAGCGATAGAAGATTTGTTGCTAAAGTATAAAATCTATCTCTAATTTTTTTTAAAAAAATGAGTCGCCTTTTGAAATTAAAAAGCCATTCATTTAACGATGCCTTAGCGACAAATCGGTGACGAGATCACATTCTAAAAAAATTGGATGGCCTTTTTGGAATTAAAAAGTCGCCCACTTAATGATAGCTTAGCGACAAACATAATAGAGATGGATCAACGATGATATCTTGTCCATTGCTAGTTTGAATCCATAATTAAATCCTATTTTCCTTTCTTCTTCCTCCATCTTCTTCTTCTCTTCCTTGTCCTCCTCCAGTCGTCGATCCTTCCCCCACCACAAAACTCCACACCTCCACTCCCCTTCAGTCCACACTCACTCCAAACTCTTTTCTCCTTAAAAATCTTCATTTTTCCTTCCTTTTTATCAGTCCAAATTAAGTAAGCTCTCTCTCTCTCTCTCTCTCTCTCTCTCTCTCTCTCTCTCTCTCTCTCTCTCTCTCTTATTTCTTAAAAATTAGTTATTTTTCATAATTGTTAGCTTAATTTTAAATTTAATTGGTTGATTTATAATTTTGTATAGTTTTAATTATTAATTTGTTGATTAATTTGTTAACTTGTTATTTTTTGTTAGTTGTTAGGTTAATTTGTTAATCAAGTGTTAGTTAAATTTAATTAGATTTGAAATAGAGTTAATTTGATTTACCTTTAAATTTAATTAGGCTTGAATTATAATTAATTAAGTTAATTTGATTTAGGTCTAATTAATTAATTAGGTTAATTTTGATTCTTTGGTTGATTTTTAATTTTATTTACATTAGAAATTGTTAATGAATTGTTAGTTAAATTTAATTAGGTTTGAATTAGGGTTAATTTGATTTAGGTTTAAATTTAATTAGGTTTGAATTAGTGTTCATTTGATTTAGATTTAAATTTAATTAGGTTTGAATTAGAATTAATTTGGTTAATTTGATTTAGGTTTAATTAATTAATTAGGTTAATTTTGAAGAATGGGTCAATTTTTAATTTTATTTATATTATTAATTAATTATTAGTTAAATTTAATTAGGATTGAATTAGGGTTAAATTGATTTAGGTTTAAATTAATTAGGTTTGAATTAGAATTAATTAGTTTAATTTCACTTAGGTGTAATTAATTAATTAGGTTAGTTTTGATTAATTGGTTGATTTTTAATTTTATTTATATTGAAAATTGCTAATTAATTGTTAAATTTAATTAGGTTTGAATCATGGTTAATTTTATTTAGGTTTAACTTTAATTAAGTTTGAATTAGAATTAATGTTAATGTGATTTAGGTTTAATTAAAATTTTTGGTTAATATTGATTAGTTTGTTGATTTTAAATTTTATTTATATTGGAAATTATCAAATATTTGTTATTTGATTTCTAATCAACCGAAAAATCAAAACTAATCTAATTAAATAATTAAGTTAATTTCGATTAGTTGGTTGATTTGTTAAAGTCCAACAAAATGCAGAACCATTTCTGGAGGACAATTTGAAAATCCAACACAATTTGATCCAAGATGATGGTGATGAGGAGTCGTTGAACGATCTAAATGGATCGTTTATAGATATAGAAGTAATTAAAGCTAATGAAGAAGATGAGAGTTAATATGCATCAAAATTGACTACATGAGAGAAAAACATAGAAGATGATTATGAAAATTATAATTAAAGATCAATTTTATTTATTGTACTCATTAAATTATATCATTTTTTTATTGTGCATTTTTAGATGTTTGTTGTGCATTTTGAATGTGTTGAAATTTTTTTTTATGAAAACAATTTATAATATTTTTTCGATCGAATTGTTATTCATTTGTTATATTTGTTAAACTCGTTTTAAGTGTTATTCTAGAGTTATGTCTTATAGATTGGGCGGATCCGGTCATAATGGTTGTGGCTCTAATGACGATAGTTTACGTGGTCATAGTACTAATACCGGCAATGTCTATGACCATGCCATTGATAGTGGTACTCGTATAAGGACGTGACACTATTAGTGCAATTGTTCGAGGTCGTGGACTTGTTAGTGGTGTTGGTACACCAATGTCCTTGCTAGTAGTGCCCTCACCACTAATGCCTCCTTCAATAGTTCCCTTGGTTATGGAGGTTCCCATGATAGTTTCCTTACCTCCAAGAAGCTCAACTGGATCCGATACTAGATAGACCATTTAGATCATGAATAATTGATAAGTAATATGCTTTACAAGTGATAATTAGTTTTATATTTTCATATATTATAATAGAATTATTAATTAACTTATTTATTAAGTATTTATTTACTTTGACATTTTGGTTTCATCAAGTAAGTGCTCCATAAAAATCGTTGTAATTTTCAATGAGTGGTTGTATGCTACTAGCTCTACATGAAAGTTTGTCTCCATGAAGATGAAAGACTTTACTTTAATGAATTTAGAGTAACATATTAATTTTTTTATATTTTATTTAAAGTATTAATTTAACTTGAAATATTCTAATGTTATTTTTTTCTTCATGTAGAAGTACTTTTTATGGAATGGGTCGTCGATACACCGATTAAGAATGCATGGGAGAGTCTAGCACGAAGGCGAGTACAACGACATGTTGAATAAGTTAAAGCATAAGACTAACGGACCCCGTATGTTAGACAATAGGTGTGGAAAGCATGACACCGGGATTAGGCAACTCCCGAGTTTTAGGCTCGATATCGGCAGGTATTTCGAAACCACATGTCGAAGACTAGTGGTGTCGGTATTAGCCCATCTAGACATATGAAAGGGTC